CTTCAAATTAAGGGACATTTTTGTAATAAAGTTAAAATAGTAAAACAGATTTCGTTTTGTTGCTTTTAAATGTTGTAATTTCTTCAAATATTGTGTCATTCCAATGCTTGCGCTGATAGGTGTTATTTTCTGTATCTTCGTCAACATTTCTTTTTATACCACGGATTTCTATTGTCATCAATTCAATTACTAGTATATTAGCCAACTAAATTAGCGGATGATTTAATCCTCGGCCTCACAGAGCAGAAAACTGGTGCAAGATTGGGTGAGGCAAAATCATCCAGTTTTCTGTTCAGAGACCGAAGATTTTTCGTCGCTATAGTTGTTTATACGTTTTTCTTCGACAAAATATTCTTCGTTCACACAATAAAGCTGGTCTAATGAACGCCTCTATAGACTACTTAGACCAACAAAAGGTGTATGGGTGGCCAGGCACCACTCCGCATTTATGTTACCCTTTGCATTAGTTCGACTTGCTTCTCAAAAGAGAGCTTAGTTTATAACTTGACTGCTCGCAGGCAGGGTACATGCTCCTATGTCAAAATTTCAGTGAAATCCTCTTGAAACATGAAATATTAATTGTATGGCATATACAAGACCATTGGTAATGTTACCATAGGGAATCGGACCTGCAGGCCTTACCATCTATACATGTTTTTTTCTGTTTTGAAAAATTCGATATGTATGTATATTGTATGTATATTTCATAGCTTTTCAAAGAAATCTACAAATATTTCGTTGCGGTTTTATCTTTACATCGTAATTTCAATTACCGCCATCACTATTCAAACGAGTTACCTTGAAATATCAAGACGACGTGCTATTCTCATACTTATAGAACTCAATGTGACTGTCATTCACCATTTATTAAGCAGTAAAAATTAATTTGCTTCATGGATGGCAAGATTTCCTGTTGAATGTCGAGCCTCGCATCATACGAATGTAATTTTAGGCGATCTGTCTGCATGGGGTGATACTTAACGGTTATACTCCTAGGTTTTGGACCGATATAAAGATGGCCCATGTTATATACAGATCGATCGCCACCTTCATTTTGAAATATGGAAATTATAATCAACTAAATATAGATGTCGCATTCGTTCAATTCGTCTACAATAAATTGACAGAACACATAATTGATGACAATCACAAATTAATGATAATAAAAATGACAATAAAAACTTGAATCAAAAGTCTTTTCTGGGTCACAGCGAATGGCATGATTTCCTCGAGTCTCTTCAGTTGCAAGGCAACCATACTGGGACCGATTCGCGTCGTTCCACTACTGCCCTTGGTGGGGGCCCGCTACCATACTGTATGACTTCCGGGGTCTACTAATGCACGTTAGTGGAGGAACCAACCACAGTCTCACAATCTGTCTCCGGCAAGAGCGGCCAGAGAACCAACCCATGCCAAGGGCCGGTAAACGGTTGGACCTTCGGACCGGGTGTCCGTAGTGCAATGATCAAAAACTCCGTACCTGGGGCTCGAACGCGGGACCTCCGTATCCCACTACGTTCAACCCACAAAGTAATCTACCTTCACCACTAGACCACTCTGCTTAGGTGTCAAAGTTTCTCAGAAATTAGTAGTTATAATTTTTACTTGGATTCATTTTACACGCATGTGCAACCGGGTACACATACAACAATTAATCCGATATTAGTTAGAATTCGAAATTGGGAGTTCGTACAAACCAGAACAATCATCCAGGCTAATCGGCCCTTGCAAACATATAACGCCTTATCACATTTATAGATCTAAGATAAAAAAAAATATTGTAAAGAAGAAAGTGGAGGAAATAGGGAGACAATGATGGCGGTACTTTTTAAATCACACTGCGAGAAATGTAAAAGTGCAATTAGCCATCATAAGCTGATACCTCACCAATGGACAATGAAAGTTCTTGTCAGCATTTCTTCAACCGGGATGCAGCCTAAATATTTGAAACAACCTAATCACGTAATTATTTAGTCAGGTCGGCATAACAACAGTGAGTGAATGCGATGGTTAAAATTATGTCCAATAAAATTAGTTAATTTGCGACTCGTCATTAACACAATAAGGAATTACAAATTCATTCATGCTAATTCATGGTTAGAACACGTTGCAAATGTTAATACGATAAATATGTAGATTGTTCATGAATGTTTGGGTATTAAAATGATGCAGACATGAAACAATTTCTAGCCGAATTCACTCCACCCGACTGTTAACTTATAAGTCACGGTGGTTATACGGGCTGTTATATGCTGCTTTGAAACTAAAGATGCAATCACTTCGGATTGTCAGCGTTGTTGTAGGCCTTGATTTGGCGAAATCATTATCTTTTTAGCGTTTGTTTCAGTTGAATTTTACTGGACAGAATGATTTATGTAATTTAGGCGAATTTTATAGAGCCATATTTTTCTAAATTCCAAATTACATACTAGTAGCAAGCTGTACACTTTGGTTGATTGTGCTGAATGCGAGCTCGATTGTTTCAATTACAATAGACGTTAAAATTGATGAAATAGGGTTTTTGAGTTAAGTGTGTTAATAAGACCCATCCAAATGGATCAGACAAGCCGTTCAAAGAGGGACACTTAGGGGGTCTGGCCACCATATCATTTCAATTAAAAGTCATTTGTTTGATTGATCACATCGACTTCATATCGGCACATTGTCCTTCGATTTTCAGTTTGACGACACCCCTCTCTACTGTCATTTATTAAGGTTACCATGCCTCCGTATCTTAAGTTTTGGGAACAGAGCATATGGTTAAATAAAAAGTAGAAATTCAACAACCTTCATTTCTGTATTTCAGCTGACTATCATATACCTACTATTCAAACAACATATTCTTTATACTGTATACACCCACAAGGGTGTCATGTAAAACGTTGTAAATACTATATATGAGAAAATAAGGCTGAATTGAATTGAAAAACAGTGTTTGTGGAAAAGGCACTGGGCGTGGTGGGTCCTCCATGCACACGAGTTGTCATCATGTAAGATTTGTCCAGCTTGAGGGAGCATGCTATTTTTCGTAAAAATACTAAGGAAACCTGACAAAAATATATCTTAACTCATATGTTTTGTTATACAGTTCCAAAGAAATGAATGTAAAATACAAAACTGCTCCCCCCAGTTTTTTCTACAAAAATAATGTTTAACCTTGAATGGATGGTGTTCCCACGTCTACGCCTTACGCAAACCCTTATTACATGTATTAAGTTGCATATTTAATTTTATGAGTTCTTGAAGACAGTTTATAATAGAATTTGTTGGATTTTGGATTACAATTATGGTTGTGATACTAATGTAAATGGACCATACTAATTTTGGATTTTTTTTGTTTTAAAGTAAATGGACCATACTAATTGTGGATTATGTTGTGATAATGTGAATTGACCATACTAATTTTGGATTATGGTTGTGATAATGTAAATGGACCATACTAACTTTGGATTATGGTTGTGATAATGTAAATGGACCATACTAATTTTGGATTATGTTGTGATAATGTAAATGGACCATACTAATTTTGGATTATGTTGTGATAAAGTAAATGGACCATACTGATTTTGAATTATGTTGTGATAATGTAAATGGACCATACTAATTTTGGATTATGTTGTGATAATGTAAATGGACTATACAAATTTTTGATTATGTTGTGATAATGTAAATAAACCATACTAATTTTGGATTATGTTGTGATAAAGTAAATGGACCATACTGATTTTGGATTATGTTGTGATAATGTAAATGGACCATACTAATTTTGAATTATGTTGTGATAATGTAAATAAACCATACTAATTTTGAATTATGTTGTGATAATGTAAATGGATCATACTGATTTTGGATTATGTTGTGATAATGTAAATAAACCATACTAATTTTGGATTATGTTGTGATAATGTAAATGGACCATACTAATTTTGGATTATGTTGTGATAAAGTAAATGGACCATACTGATTTTGAATTATGTTGTGATAATGTAAATGGACCATACTGATTTTGGATTATGTTGTGATAAAGTAAATGGACCATACTGATTTTGGATTATGTTGTGATAATGTAAATGGACCATACTAATTTTGGATTTTTTGTTTTAAAGTAAATGGACCATACTAATTTTGGATTATGTTGCGATAATGTAAATGGGCCATACTAATTTTGGATTATGTTGTGATAAAGTAAATGGACCATACTGATTTTGAATTATGTTGTGATAATGTAAATGGACCATACTAATTTTGAATTTTGTTGTGATAATGTAAATGGACCATACTAATTTTGAATTATGTTGTGATAAAGTAAATGGACCATACTGATTTTGGATTTTTTGTTTTAAAGTAAATGGACCATACTAATTTTGGATTATGTTGTGATAAAGTAAATGGACCATACTAATTTTGGATTATGTTGTGATAATGTAAATGGACCATACTAATTTTGGATTATGTTGTGATAATGTGAATAAACCATTCTAATTTTGAATTATGTTGTGATAATGTAAATGGACCATACTAATTTTGGATTATGTTGTGATAAAGTAAATGGACCATACTGATTTTGGATTATGGTTGGGATAATGTAAATGGACCATACTAATTTTGAATTATGTTGTGATAATGTAAATAAACCATTCTAATTTTGAATTATGTTGTGATAATGTAAATGGACCATACTAATTTTGGATTATGTTGTGATAATGTAAATGGACCATACTAATTTTGAATTATGTTGTGATAATGTAAATAAACCATACTAATTTTGGATTATGTTGTGATAATGAAAATAAACCATACTAATTTTGGATTATGTTGTGATAATGTAAGTTGACTATACTAATTTTGGATTATGTTGTGATAATGTAAATGGACCATACTAATTTTGAATTATGTCATGATAATGTAAATGGACCATACTAATTCAGGTTGCTGACTTATTCTCTGCAGATAACATTCAACACAATTTTTTCCGTCACTTTTATACATTTAATATCTATAAGGACGTTATATACACCTACATGTGATTATTTACAAATTTAAAAGTTGTGTATTATTTACATATTTGCATATCCAAATGTTCAATTTGTTTCTCGCTAATTTGACATTGTGCCCCAAAAACAGGTTAAAATCGATTTCCTCTGAGCTAAAATGTACTTAAACTCTTCATCACAAAGTTCAATCGATGGAAGAGCCAGCTAGGGAGGGTGCTCAGTTATAATAATTTCTCTCAGATGTTGAGTGTCCAATTGAACCACTTGCCATTTGGAAAATGTCCTTGTGGTTATACATATTCATCACTTTCTGATCTTGCTTGAAATGACTTTTTGGCAGTCTATACAATTTAGAACATCAACATCACACCTGTCAACTTAGTCCATGTTGTTGTCTCTTGCACATCAAATTGTCAGTTGCTCTGTTTCCAATCATATTAAAGAACACTGGTAGTTGTAGGCTAGAATTCTTTTCTCATATCTGGAATACAGACAAAATGAAATCATTTAGTAAAAACCATGATGTGCACAGTGGGACATAATAAAACAGTACCATTTACTGATAAACAGTACCATCTTCTGATAAAACAGTACCCTCTACTGATAAAACAGTACCATGTACTGATAAAACAGTGCCATCTACTGATAAAAAAGTACCACCTACTGACAAAACAGTACCATTTACTACCACTTGACCAAGGCTGTAGCCAGGCATGAGGCAAATAATTCACCAAAAGTTTACAGAAATATATATCATATATCTTTTTATGACAAAAGTATGAAAATGAAGTCTATGTGTTTTTGGCCCACCCTGTAGTTTACCCCATTTGCCTTCTTTTTCCATTCTGGCTACACCCAGTTATAAACTTGTGGAATTCTTAACTCTCATGTTAACATACGTGTCAGCTATTACAAGTCAGTTGAATATAACATTACATCCTTTTGATACACACTTTTGATATAAATTACAGTAAAATGACTTTATGGGCCTCAGTGCATTGTTGAGTCTACAGAAAATGCTTACCACTTTGCTCAATCAATTTTCCTTTCCAAGATTTCTCAAGTTTTGTCAAGAAGTCTTCAAATATCTGTACAGGCCCCTTCAGACTTGTCCTTTTGTAATCTGAAATTAAGAATCTTGATGAGTTTCAGGAGTTATGAATGGGTTAAAATATGAAAGGTCATCGAGGTTTTATCAATCTTCAATAACATACACTGTACTTAAAGGAATATTCCTGGCCAGACCATTTCTCTCCTAATATGGTAGCTATAACCATATATATACTTTCCATATTTAGCAAAACATGGAAAAATGTTTTGATATGGTCAATATTGATCACTTTAAAATGTAGTGCCGAATTCCAGTAGGCTGCCATCTTTTAATATTTCACTCAGGAAGTGACGTCATCGACTCTCAGCTTTGCATATAACACTATAAGGAGCTATTAAGAATTACAAAACCAGCTGAATATTCTTTCTCAATTTTGTCTATGATTTAATCCTTCTAAAAGTCTCTTCTTTTATTCTAAGCTGACAAGCTCTGAACATATTTTTGCGCATAAAGTAAGGATCACTCATCTAGAAGTGATATTGTGATTGTCGATGACATCACTTCCTGAGTAAAATCTTAAAAGATGGCAGCTTACTGGAAATGAGCACTTCATTTTTAAATTATCAATATTGACTATATTAAAACATTTCCCCATGTTTTGCTAAATATGGAAAGTATATATGATTATAGCTATCACATCAGGATAGAAAAGGTTTGGCCAGGAATGTTCCTTTAAGCATTCTAGTATGACCAACTGTGGTTTGGATCAAAAGCATCACTAAGGTTGAAAATATGACAGTGTCCTATTGTAAAACCTGTTGAATGGAACACTTTTGTAAGTGGATCACCTTTGAAAGTGGAACACATTTGTAAGTGGATCACCTTCCAAAAAGGAATATAATTTTGAGGTTCAAAAGGCATCCAACTTGCACAAGTTCATTTTTAAATTTAATTAGGCCGATAATAAGTCAATAGAGGAGTTTCAAAATACATGTAGCTTTGAAAATCTTGCTAATTCTAGTGACTTTTTAAAAAGAATTGGGCCAGATCCCCAAATTTCCAGGCTGAACTAATGTAAATTGTATTTAATTTATTGATTAAAGTTGTAATTTGTAAATTGCATTTTAGTCCACATTGCAGTCCTCCCTAAATGTCAAACCCATTATACAAACAGTGTCCACAGACAGGCTTGGATAAATAGCTCAATTATGTTTGTGATACGCCAGAGGCTCGTCTCATTCTAGCTACATATAACTGAAACCACATTTCAAATCAAATATTTCTTAAATACATTTTTACCTCTGATTTTTCTTTTCTCTTCATCATCAGATTTTTCAATGTTGTTGAGTTCCTCACAGATGTCGCTGTAAAACAGAAATACTGACATTTCACGCTACACTGCCCTCCAAAACTTTGGAAATCTTAATCCAACGAGGGAGCTAAGGTTGAGCTAACATTTGGAGTTGAGTGTAGATATTGCAACAAGAGTTATATTGCATGGCTTTATCTTTCACAATCAATTTGCACAACATACACTGATTCAAAACACCAATTGTTCTAAACTTTATTACTTATTATACTCAACCAGGGCCAGGTAGGGCCACATACAAGTCTATACATGAATGTATCTGATATATGGAACAGCAATAGGGTTAACATCATCTACATCTACATGTATATTACTAGTTATGCTCAATCAGGGCCAAGTAGGGTCACATATAAGTCTATACATGTATGTACCTGATACGTGGAACAGCCATTGGGTCAAAATCATCGACATCTTCAACATCAATGGGCACACAGATCCTCCCAGTCTTGGGATGTACACAGAATGGGGACTTGAGCAGATGGTTCACCCCTTTACTGACGTTGATATCCAGACGAGGGTAGCAGAACTGAAGCATGATCTCCTCAGGGAGATGCCACGATTTACTCATGTGACCCTGAAACATCAGTTATCCAATTATAGTGTGTGATGTCTATGCATGTCGCGTATGGGTGTGCGTGCAATTTCACCGATTTCACAAATCTATGAATCCTAAATAAATTGTTGCAACCATGAATATCATGATGTCATAGTAAGAGAGAATAAGCTTCTGGTAATAAATCATACTACCTCAACTCTATGATATCAACATACCAGAAGTTGGGATCATTTTGGGTTTTGTTTGAACAAGATAACAATAAGATTTATTTTCTCGCTTTAATTTACATGTACAATGTAAATATGTTTTCAAACTGAAATTCAGAGATCCTTTCCTTAGACAAATCAGATATTATCTACATAATCTATATCATTTAGAATTGTGACATCATTTTAGGACAGAAGTTCAGAATATCTTTCAAAGTTTTAAAGATTTTTAAGCAAATCTTGCTTACCTTTGCTTGGACATTTGCCACCATCAATTTCAGCAGTTCCCATCGCAAAATGGATGTCTGTGCGTCCTTACTTTGGAATTTCTCCGCCATATTCTCTCTCAACTGTATCACGGTTAAAGAAAACTGCATGCACTGTATTTGAAAATGTTATGATGGTCCTGTAGTGTATCTGTTGAACTTTTTTTCTGTTGAATTTTTTTTTATTAATGAAGATGAATAATGATTGATTTTGATCATGGCTGATTATTTTATTTAAGGCTATGAAGTGGTTTTCAGGATGAATGAAATGCCCAATGGTCTTATATTGTGATAACTGTTCCTGAATAATGGGAGAGAGGGGGGGGGGGGTATTAGATATTGTTCCAATTCATGTAAGATTATAATGTGGGATATTTGGGGTTTGTTTTCCTTATGACTGGTTGTACTCATTTATATTTCACCTTTTGGTATGTGCTCATTGGCTCTTTACATATTGGTATCTGAAATTTTTTCAAAAAGGATATCTCTGTCTGGTACAAGTGCAAGGACCTTTTTGCACTTTTCATCATCCCCTAGAAAATCTTGTTGTTTTATTGCGTAATTTACAAAATCTTCTTTAATGACATCAAGTGCTGCTCTGAAAATCAATAAAAAATAAATAAATAAAAGATAATTAGGGATCAAATAAAACTGTGAAGTTATCAAAATGTAATTAAGTAATCTGGGGAGTGAGTTTCTCTGGTAACTCCAGTGATTTTTGACCTGATCACAGCTTTCTCTGCCTGATAAAGAAATAGTAAAGATGAATTTTTATATTTCTAGTTAACATCAATGTTAACTACATGCCTGCTTACTTTATTCCTTGCTGATTAAGTAATCTTTATGAATTAATCTTCATTTGAAAATATGTTTCCTTGAGAATTCCTCATCCCTTCATGATAGCTTACAGCTTATTAAGCTTATCAAGCTAAGCCTATTACAGCTTACATTGAAAAAAGCTTACACCTTATTAAGCTTATTACAGCTTATTAAGCTAAGCCTATTACAGTTTACAACAGAGATAGCTTACAGCTTATAACAGCGGAGATAGCTTACAGCTTATTTCAGCTTACTACAGCTTACAGCTTATTCATGAAAATATCACAATATTTGTTGCAGAACATTGAGTTACATATGTTAATTTCAATATATGTTGGAAAACATAGACTTGCATATGTTAATTTCAATATATGTTGGAGAACATAGATTTGCATAAGTTAATTTCAATATATGTTGGAAAACATAGACTTGCATATGTTAATTTCAATATATGTTGGAAAACATAGATTTGCATAAGTTAATTTCAATATATGTTGCAGAACATTGAGTTACATATGTTAATTTCAATATATGTTGGAGAACATAGATTTGCATATGTTAATTTCAATATATGTTGCAGAACATTGAGTTGCATATGTTAATTTCAATATATGTTGGAGAACATAGATTTGCATAAGTTAATTTCAATATATGTTGGAAAACATAGACTTGCATATGTTAATTTCAATATATGTCGGAAAACATAGATTCGCATATGTTAATTTCAATATTCTAATTTTATGAAGGCTGGGTTTACTTACTTCCCACAAAATAACAAACAATTACCGCTGTGACTGGAGAAACCATTAACATTTAAGCTTGTAGCCTTGGATGAATGAATATAAGTTTGATGATGATTACTTACTGTATTGAGGGATGGGATCTTTCAAAGAGAGTCACTTTCTTTGTTTGGTTGTCTCCTCCCTAAAAAGAGAGATATTCAGTTAACAGATATGACTTTCAATACTGATTTTGATTCTAAAAATCTAACATAATTTTTCAAATTAGGTGCATCAGAATAGTTTATTATCATAGCCATTTATGTTCAAAGATTTGTATGATACCACACAGGTGAGAAGTGGGGATTTATAAAGACCCTACTTCCATGACAAAGTCAAAATCCAACCCCCTTGGATAAGACTGCATGTCAATTCCCGACCCTCCATGTGTGGAGGTCTCACACAAATGTTCATCCATTGTGACATCACAATAGCACATCAAATAGTGTCAACTCACCTTGACAACCTGTAGATACTCAGAGACCGCAGAGCGTCCCATCTGGCTGAGTTTCCTAGCACCCTCATCACACACCCAGCAATGTATTCCTCTCCTACCAGAGTAGACCCACAACAAATGCTTGTAACCAAAATCCTCTGAAAGAGAAATGGAAAAGTAATTGGTACATTTCCTCATCATAGCATTGGAATGTCCAAATATTACATCCAGTTGCATATGCAGGGTTCAAAGTTTAGAAATTTTAGACAATTTGATGATTGACATAATCAGGCTTTTAATGAATGTGCCAATTGCTACTAAACTTATAGTAGGGCGTGTACACCTATAGCTTACCTGTCAACGCTCTGTTTAGTATTTTAATAGCCATAGTCATCAAAGGCCAACATTTATGACAAATGTCCGCTCCACTGGAATCATACCAAGTCAAAGTTAAAACAAATCTACAGAAAATGCAGTTACTGATACTATTGTTCTACAATAATTGCAGACTAGCTCTTGAGAGGAATCATCTTTAAATACAGGCATATGGTTACCCTTTGCATTCTTTTGACTTCACTTCTTAAAAGAGAGCTTCGTCTTCACTCTTTCAGTTTACAATAAATCTCTGATCTCACCGAGCCAATCAGAGTTCATCGTCGAAATATGGATGACTTTCTATGTGGTAATTTCCTCTAAAACCACCGCATAGTTAATGAGCACGTATTTAGCACTATGTTCCTTCAACTTTGCTGATTGGTTGAGAAAAGATCAGCATGGTAGATTTGGAATGACTTATTACTCAGCTGTCAAAGGCACCAATATTTGTGGCGGGGTTGCTAAACTGTAATATTGTCTATACTAGGCAGAGGGTAGTTTATAACTAGACTCTGCATGCAGGGTAGCATATGGTTGGTAGCCAAATATATGGCATCTCAAAATTGAATTTTCTGGCCCACCCTGTCACCTGTACATGCCATTTTGTTTAAACTACTGTTGTGCATATTCTGTACTGTACTTACGAGCAACAATATCTGACATCGTCATAGTCTGTCATATCAATATCAAACACAAGTTCTTTCTCCTGAGCAATGAATGCTGATGCTTTGACGCAGTTGTGTTCTTTGGGCTGAAACAACAGCACAAAATGAAATATTATGAGGATTAAAATTCAGAACTCTATGCTCAACTTACTTGGGAATAGAGGGGTATACAAGACGATTGGTTATAAAGGTATTATATTTGGACAATTGAAAAAAACTTAAAAGCCACTATCACTATGTTAGACTTTTAAAAATCTTTTACATTATTATAGATCAATATTTGATCTCATTTCTTTTTTCAGATGATGAATTTAGAATCATTTTAAGACTGCTGATGAAAAAATTGCTTCTTACAAGATGTGAAAAGACTGCCCCGATATCAATCTTATATGGACACCGCTTCTGTATCTCTTTCTCCATCTCATTCTGGTCAGAGAATGACTGATATCTGATGTAGATGTCATCTTTCAAAGTAAATGAGAATTCACGCCTCTTGAAGTATGTCTTGGGCACTGTTAGAACAAAATACAATAAAATAAAAATAATAATACATCTTTGTAGCCCTTTGTATTTACCAAGTGGGGTTGTGAGTGTGTGCGCATCAAATAATTGTAAACCAAGAAAAGTAAATTTAACCCCCTAATGACCATAAAAGAACCCCATTTCTTCCTCTTCTAAAATGAAATCCCTCATAGACATAGACTCATTCCCTGGATTTATTTTGTTCAAATTGTTCTTACCAAAATCTGAGACCATCATAAAATTGAATGTCTATGCCAATAGACATGGATTTATTTAGATGGATTTATTTGAATGGATTTATTTTGTTCAATTCAAATTGTTCTTCACAGTCAGAGAGAATGTTTCTGGCGAAATTCTGGGATTTCAAATACATGTACTTGAAGTTGGGAAACCGGAAGGGCTTACCTTTTTTAATTCCCGAATCTCACCGAATCTCTCCGGAATTAGCTCATCTTGGTGACTGTAAATTGCACAGCTGTATTCAATGGAGTCTTGTCATATTCAATCAGCCTCAATTTTAATCGTTTTTTGTCGACTGGTAAGAATACGCGGGGCAAATGGCAAGATGGATGACTTTTGACCTGACCTACACCTATGGCGGTGACGTCATCAATTTTATCTATACAAATTCTATTTGGTCACGTGACCTTGTGCCAGAAGTCCGACTTTTTGGTCAGTCGACCTGTTCAAAGTACATTTAGTAATAATTATCGCTTTTCAGAACAATTTAGGAAACAATATTTTCTATCTACGTCGATTACAAAGCATCTAAGGTACGTAAATTTATATGAACAACTGAGTCAATAGGAATAAATAGCCCAACGAGAGTCGGCGGTCTTGAAAAATATTTGGATCTGGATGCCAGTCCTGGTATAGATATAGTTCCAGGGCAGTTCGAAGAACGTATTAGATGTCCGTGTTGTTCTTAAGGCGAAGCTATACTAAATAAAAAGTACAAAAAATAATTGCCATATTTTTTTTGATAAAGACACATGTTTTTAAAATCTGTTTACCTTGTATATGAATTGTATATCTTGACTAATGAAACATGTCAAAGTTAACATCACACATAAACGCATTTTTCCAAACTATGAATTGGAGGTGCATGGATCCCCAAAGCTAGCATGAAGAGTGCGAAGTGAGGCTAATTTTTGAAAGTTTGAAGGAGTAGCCTTGCAACAGTCACGCATTTGCAAGAATTCAAAATTTCCAGATATAATCTTACCTTACCAAGGAACAATGAAGGAGCATGAAAATGTGTACTTCTTGCATTGTTAGAGTATAATAAAGCTCAAACCATTGTGAATTCTAAATATTTCATGTCCAACATTTTGTTTCCTGGAACTATTTTTTTACTCCATGAAACTTAAAAAAAATAGCCTCACTTCGCACTCTTCATGCTAGCTATGGGGAGCCATACACCTCAAAATCATAGTTATGAAAATTGCGTTTCAATGTGAGGATTTCTTTTATGTGTCTCTTTAGTCAGGAAATGCATTCACATACAAGGAAAACAGTATACAAAATCTTCTGACTTTATCAAAAAAATATGGCTCCCATGTTTTTGTACTTTTGATTAACTTAAATGTCACCTTAACAAAATCTGAGACCATCATAAAATTGAAGTGTTGATTTCGATAATATGACAAGAGATCGATTCATAGTTTTTCACTTACCCCCTCCGTAGTGCAACCATCTGTAGTATGGTCCATACGGGAACAAACGTTTGTAGTACAATGGCAGTAAATCGGGCAATGTTTCACGATCGTACTCAGACATTTTTGGAGAATTTTTATTTGGCGCCAAATCTTTTTTACGATAGTGAAGGATAATTGAATGTCGTAAAACTAAATATTTTGTCCAGTCAACATTTCAGATAAGATTGATGACACTAATACGAGGCATTCCAGGCTATCTTGCCATGTGTGTTATTTTCTTAATTTTAAAAATATTTTTTTTAAACACATTTTGCGACTATCAACAAGCAGAAAGTTAGAAAGTATTTTTATTTTTTTTGGTGCAATATTTGTCACTCCATATTTGTAAGTATTTTCAGCTTTTCAATTAACTTTACACACTTTTTAAAATATATAATCCTTAAACGTATATTGTTTGATATTTACAGATAATAAGAGCCTTCAGATTGCAACTTTTTCTGGCATTGAAAGTATCTAAGTCGAATTGCGAACATGTAGATTAGCATGTATACCCGGAATATAATTAGTACAGTGGGGATCATAAAGAATTGCAAAAGCTATGAAAATTACATGCTGTCGCACATGTAATAAATTCTTACCTCAGTGTATTCAGTGCTCTATTTTCACCGTCTGAGTAAGTCCAAATATAGTGGAATTTGTGTCCCTAATGACAAATAAGAACTTCAAAAGTTCAAGTGAATATTCACATGTTATGCCGACTCTTCAAATGTAGAGGTGATTTTGTCGCCCGATTGCGCCGGAACAGAGGATTGGCTCCCAGAATGCAACATGACACGTGCCAGCTTTCAAAATGCTGTCCCGCCATTTTGAAACCTGTCATGAGTAAATACGGTAACTGATGTTGCATTCTGGGAGTCAACCGTCCTTGGATAACAAACATGGCGATTCATGAAAACATTCATTCGATTTGGTAGGGATTTATCCATTATTTGCAGGTATGAAGCTTTGGATTCATTTATTGTGCTACTTTAGTAAACGGGAATTATTTTTCTACCGCTTGGGAGAGTTTGAGACACAAAACTTGGAAATAAGCTCATTGCGACAACTTGTGAACGTTGAGTTTTATTTTTGTCCCCCACTGTACATTAATCTTTAAGCTTTTTAGGATGATAATGCAAGAACTAGTGCTTTACCCTTTAAAGCCTTAACATCACAGTCACAGTTATAATTTGGGATAAGTAGCACCCTCACAACTACTTTTGTAATGAAATCTTGGGGTTGAAAATAAGTTGGATTAGTGGTTATTCACCTCAGCTTTTATTCAACAGCTTTGTGTCGACTACTGACAACATTTTACAACTCAAAACTTTCAAAACACAAGTAGTTGTGGGGGTGATTTTTAAAATCAACCCAACATTTATGGGGGTAGCCGAAATCGTGATCTATACTTACCTTCTTCTAAGGCCACTATATCGTTGCCTTCGCCCAAAGATTACCCTTTGCATTCGTTTGACTTCACTTCTTAAAAGAGAGCTTCGTCTTCACTCTTTCAAACTAAAATAAACCTGTGAACTGACCCGGAATTGACCAATGACATGCGCATATTTAATTAGAACGCATTTGGCGTATGTTTCTTCAAGCTCGCTGATTAGTGGAAGAAAGGTCAGCACGTATCTGGCGATTTAAAATATTTAAAAAAATTATAACACGATGGTCAGCTTTTTTCGAATGGTTCACGGTGTTCCAGATGAAATTACTTGTACAATAACGTAATCTTGAATGTTAGGCAAAAAAGTGGATGCGGTTTAAAATGCTGCAATCTGATTAGTCAAAATGGCAAATTTCGAAAAACTGTCCAGCACAGTCCTTTTCTGAATGTTTTGATGATTAAGACAATTACTATGTGCAATTTTTGCTCAAGTTTAACTTCCTGTGTCATCACAACCCTGATATATTTTTACAATATTGGAACACGGTCTAGGATTATACTCATCTGTTCGATAGGTAAAGATTAAAAGGTGGATTGGATCAAGTGGATTGGATTCATGTAAAAGGTGGATTGGATCGGAAATCTTCAAAATATAGAATTACTTTAAGATTTTTTTCTATTGATCCCCCTCTGTCAGATTGGTGCTCTCTTCTCTTTCACAATGTCAAATAACAGATGTAATATTATTTTGCTTGGGTGGACTAGAAGAGTAACCTGGTACCCACTTTCTGATAAATAATGTTATTAATTTCAGGGTAATTTAAGGCAATTCATAAATCATAAGGAAGAGCCATATCATCTGTTTTCAATCCAAACAGAACATCTAGTAGATGGGATCATCAACACATCAATTTGAATGACAGATTTTATCAACAAAGATCTATGTTTATTAACCTTAGAAAGTTGATTTACGAGGGAAAGCAGTTGAATCCTTATAGTATCCATCAACTAATTATATTGTATTTGTTGTTCTTTTGTTGTTCTGATTCCCCAAAGAGACCCAAGTGATCGCAAAATACTTTGAGAATGGAAATTTTGCTGAGAGGAAGATCAACAGAAAAAAATCTTCATATTTTTAAGATTCCTGATCCAATCCACCTTTTACATGAATCCAATCCACTCGATCCAATCCACCTTTTAATCTTTACCGTTCGATAAGGCAAAATTGACAAAATTATTGAACTTGAAGAAATTGAGATAAAGATCTTGATTTGAGCTTGCCCCGAATCATAACTGCATACTGACTTTGCATTAGCATCACAGTGCAAAAGTATATGCATCTTTCCATCGTATAGCCCTGGCATCGGATTTAAACAACATGCATTCTAGCAAGCCAAAGATGTCATGGACTCTGAATTTGTCAGATCATTAGATTTCAAATGTAAAATCAAATTTCGAACCTAATGAAAACTACATATAGAAAGTGCTAGAAATTATTTAGGTGTAAGCTAGAATTAAACATTGCTTACTCTCAGGGTGTGATCAAAAGATTTGTCCGCTATTACAGAGCTTGTTAAAACTTCAAAATTTACCTTTACATATGTTTTTATACCAAAGACAATTACCTACTCCATGCAATGGATATACAACATTTGCAGTTAACCACTTTTGTTTGAAGCTATTGAAAATGACACCAGAGTATCATACTTTAAAATGTACCATTTATTTTTAATGGCAGTGGAATGATAATACTGTACTCCCTGTTAATTTCCCAAATTTTAATTTCGCAAATTTTAAGAAAACATGATTTTGCGGCTACAATTTTGTAAAGATTAATTTTCGTGATTTTACCACAATCGGGAAAAGCGCGAAACTAGATCGCACACGAAAAATACCGGGAGTACAGTATTTCCAAATGTTTATAGCATGAATCTGAAGGTATAATGATAGCTATATTAGGTCTATTTAATTCATTCATCAAAAATATTTAATAATGTCTGATTATTTTGTCCGCTATGACGTAGCTGTTTCACATCTCACATTTGAATCTGCTTTGTCACAGCGAACATAGAAATTAAACATTATTTTTTAAAAATATTAAAATGCGAATGTGAATAGGAATTAAAAAAATATTTGGTTTGAGAATGTTCTATTCAATCAGCCCTATAGGTAAAATAAAATGCCCTACATGTAAGAACCTTTTTGATTGCTACTGTCATAGTAATATAGCATAACACCACCTCTATTTGGTATACTATGCTAGATACTTTTATTAATGAATTGTGGCATATACAGAATGGAATCACAGATTTGAAGAGGACCTGTAAAATGTGTTTGATAAGTTGGATGCCATACCTTTTGGTGGAGATATGTTCAAATTCAGGTTGCTAGGAGATTACTGATTGACACAAAATGTCACATTCTCAGTGCATAAGGGAGTATTTCAAAAGATCGATGATGGAGAATTTAAACTGTATTTGAACAGTTTTGTGGTGAGGGGGTCATACGCCTTAAAAATTTGCTTTCCGACATTGTTTCCAGGAATTTTATTTCAGCAAATTTTGTTGGATGTAAACTCAGGATTCTGCAGTGAGATACAATACAAGAGATAATCTTATGCTGATACTGTACAAAAATACAGATTGGAATAATTATAAAGATTGACTGTATTATGTTAGAAATAGTGTGATTTAACGCAATCTATGATACATATCCACACTTCTCAAACACAGATGTGAGGGGGAAAGGGAGGGGGGTCACACATTAAATGTTCAAATATAGTTAATTTTCCATCATCGATCTTTTGAAATGCTCCCTAACTCTCCTCATATCACATGTTTGATAAAAGGTCCCATGTAAAGTTTAAACCCATTTGGCTTATATTGAATTCTTACCTAATTACTGTGATTGCACCTAATATCTTTCAAACATTTAAACAATTTAGTGTCTTATGGTTTAATCCTTCTATAGATTCAAATGTAATAATGATTGCAGTTTTAGAAAAGCACTTTCATAAACCAACTAGACCCACTGTTACTAAAAACTGGCATAAGTGTTAAGTGGTTTTCAGGTCAGGTGTAATAGTGACCAGTTTTAATTAAAACATCCTCCTGAACAAAATTAACAAAAATAACTACAAGCATGTAGCCTTAGTTCTTTTACTAACTATCATGGGTGAATGAAATAGGGATGTTATAATAGCCTTTCTTTAGAGTTTAAAATTGAAAAGAGTGAAAGTTTTGTAAAACTGCATTTAAACTGGAAGGTACTATTCATTTTAGTGGGATATCTGTAATTTTTTCTGTGGTAGATAATGTAAGTATTCGCAAATCTTTTCCCATGGAAAAATAGGTGGAAAAGTGCCTTGTAGAAAAAACAGTATTGTTTTATCTCAAAAAGGTTGGTTAAAGAAATGATAATATAATCAGGATACCAATTTGTATTTTAGCACTTTCTACTTCAGTGTTTTCTTGTATCTTATAAATGAATTAAGTAAATTGAGCAAATGTCCATAATTATGGTGAAATCGTTTTTTGGATTAGAGATCAAATTGAATTGCTTCCAATTTTGAAAATGTTATGACAACTTTACTTCCATTTTTCATATTTACCAAATATAAATAAAGCAATGATCTTTGCCAAGACATTCACATTAAATTAGAAACTGCTGCAGTTGAACATTGGATATCTGTAGACAGGACCTTTCTATCAGTAAATTGTCTTCCAGACAAACACCGTCTCCATTTTCAGGATAAGGTCTCCATTTTAATAATGTTCTCATATAAAGAGACAATATAGCATGAAATGAATGGGCTATTACATAGTATATGTTTGTATGGTTAATATAAGCCTTTAAATGATTTTAAGCCTTTAAATGATTGTATGCTTAATATAAGCCTTTAAATGATTTTATGCTTAATATAACCCTTTAAATGATTTACTTGTATATTTCAGGTCATGACAACAGCGTTAGAAGATTAATGACACACAATCATTGCGATTAATGACACACAAACATTGAGATTAATGACACACAAACATTGAAACAAAGCACAGACTGTTAAAACATACTCTCCAAATTTACTGCTGTAATTTGAGACATTTTTAAGTGTGTAATTTGACATCAAGGATTTACATAGAGCTGTTATAAACACAGTGACATTTACTCGTATAAAACATAAACTTACATAGGTTGTCAAACCTTATGTTGGATATAGAGTGCCCTTGTACTGAACGTCTACATGGCAGTCAAGGCTATGGATTTATAGGAAGCAAAAAAACAAAGATAAAAACCTGGATGAAAAAGTCAAAAATGTCAAATAAATATTATTTTACAAAATGTAAAAAGTAACATTAGTTCTTATATTTTTGGACCTAATGCATTGAAAACAGCATTGTACTTTCATATAAGATTATCTGAATTTAAACAGATATATCAATAACAAATAATGAAAAACAAACCAGTATGGAAACAGAAAAAGTCATGTCTTCAACTCTCTGACTTGCAGTAAAGATGTTCCAAATGGCCTGTTACAAAAAAAATCGTCAAATATCCCACGATGGATTTCCGCCAGTGACAATAAGTGCTTTGTTAACGGTAAGTTGGACTGTATCTTTAACCTCTAATTAAGAAGAGTTGCAGAGGGTTCTTCATCTGAATAATGCAGGGGTATAGGGTGGTGGTGGGGGGGGGTAGGTCATGGTGTGTCAACCCTGTCGGAATGACGTCGTTTTCTTGTGGAAGTGGGTACTTTGTATGGATGGAGTGAACTGGCAGTTTGCCTTCAGCAAAGATTGTGAATTTAAAATATTCAATTAAAAAATTGAGAGCTCCTTTAGGCCCATTTTCTTGATAATTTGGTCTAAAATAAAAAATAAGGTCTTAAAAGGCCTATTTATGCCCTAAAAGGCCAAGTATTTGGGCCCCTTATTATTTGTTTTGTTCATCAAAAGTAATTATTTCTTTATTTTAGGTTTGGGAATATGTAAATGTCTGGTATTTAATTCAGAGCCCATGCAGTGTGCAGCCTGTAGTGAATGGTCTTTAAATCTATTGTAAAATGAATAAACTTTTGATAGATTACGTTTTTGTAATGTATTTGGTTGCTTTACAGTGTGACAAATGAATGTTTTGCCCTGTAGTTATTGTAGGCTCTAAATAGGAGATCTATATGATTCAGTTTTGAGGTCTTAATGACCACCAATGGATTTGTCATTGCTTTAAATGGGAGTTTGAATATGAAATAAAACTCAGCTACTTATGAAGGTATAATGCTACATGTCTGCAACTCTGATTGGATAGCTGGATTTCAATTGAATATTCTGATTGGATGAGGGAGACTCAAAGTATTATTTCCAATTTCAGATGAAGCTCTCTTTTAAGAAATTGACCAATGACATGCGCATATTTAATTAGAACGCATTTGGCGTATGTTTGTTCAAGCTCGCTGAATGGTAGAAGAAAGGTCAGCGCATACTCAAACTGTCGCCGGTACCCGTTGTGGGGGCGGGGCTACTAAACTGTAATATGGTCTCTACTAGGCAGAGTGTAGTTTAACTAGACTCTGCACGCAGGGTAGAATGCACCATGATAAAAACATATAAAAAGATTTTATGTTTTCCTCTAGGAGCTTTTGAACCTTAATATTTTATATCAAATATTTGGACTGCATTCTGACATGTTCTATATTTAGAAAACTGTGTGTTCATAGTGACACAGGCTAATGGCATTATAAGTTCATGACTTATTAAGATACAGTTACTCATGTGTTCTACAGTTTGCCTTAGTCTATATTTTATGCTATGACGTTTTATATTAAGTGATTCGAGGAATCACTTGCAGCTACGCAGAAGTGCCATGTACGAGGGTTGTCCCAGAAGTAATGCACTATATACTCTTACTTACTTCTGGGACAACCCTTGTATATGTGCAGTTATTGGAAGAATTGATGAATAAAATCACAATTTTGTAGAATGACTTTTAGACGCCATGCATTAAAATACTCATGACTAATTTTTTATGTTGGAAAATGTAAGTCACTTGTGTTGTTATAAGTTAGCAAAATTACCACAAAACAGATATACTAGCAGAAATGAAATACATACAAGTTGTAGATATTACATTCATATAGGTGGCAGATGAATGCAAAATGCAATAGAAATAGAGATGTTATCACATGGCACTAATGTGATGGCTAAGATTGGACCAAAGTGTTTTTACATTTCAAATTGTTAGTACCTCAGTGTAAATACTCGCATCTGATTGGTCAATTAGCGGTCAACATTTTTGCCTGTACCCCACCTGTGCATCATGGGATATCATATTATTGGCCGCGTATGTTACTGTACTACACTTGTGAATTATGGGGAATATGACATCATAATGTTTACAGAAAAAAACATGGTAGACGGACATTTTGCATTACGTTGATGGAAGTGATATTTTGACTTTGCTAGACGACAAGTAGAGCAAAAATACAAATAGAAACGTAAATTTTACATTATAATTTACGAGTGAGTATGCAGTGATGTGCCGAAAACAGAGAGTATAACTACCTTCAGATTTTCTTAAAAAATTATTGCTGGCGTGGTTCGGAGAAAAGATTGTAGAACGAAGCCATGATTGATGACTGTCGTCTATATGTGTATTATTAGTTTCTTCTGACTAACAAAACAATTGTAGACCTCTCCATTCGGTCAACCGTCGAAATCATATACCTCGACTGTAAACCTTGAAACTACTGTTGACCTCGACCTTCGGTCTCAGTCAACAGTAGTTTCTTGGTTTACAGTCTCGGTATACAATTTTGACGGTTTACCTCTGGAGAGGTGAACAATTGTATAATGTTCACTTTGGTGGAGAATGTTCACTTTAAGAAGGTATTCACATTTAACATATTCACTGTATTGAGATGATAAGATCAAATGTTCACAATAGATAGGTGTTCACAAATGTTCACAACAGAGAGGTGTTCATTACATTACTTTGAGAAGTGTTCACTTATAGTGCAGAGTATACATTTACACCATTTTGGGATCCATACCTGTACTATACCTTGAAAAACACAAACTTTAGATGTTAAGGAATTACTCTTGATATATCAGAATGTATACTATAAAAGGAAGTTCAATGATAAGTGACAAATTTCCTGTTGACTTATAATTCATGGTATTTAATTTTTATAGAGTTCTTGGTATTATGGGCAATATAACCAATAGTTTTTAATTATCTATGGTTCTTGGTATTCTTGGCAATATAACAAATGCAGGTATTCAATTATTTATGGTTCTTGGTATTATGAACAATATAATTATTTAGCATATATATACTGTAAGCTGAATAGAATGTGAGGTAAACTACTTGAGTTTTTATGACAGTGTACTTTGTGTGTTATCAAGTATGCTGATGACTGGTTCAGACGTCAGCTTAAATCCCTTCAATCGTGCGGACATGTCACGTTTTACATATGGTAATAAGCTCAAATCATACATTTTCATTGCCCTAATTTTGGCGGTTTGTATTGTCATGATTCTGATTTGGTTTGGTTTTGAGGTTATATTCTTTAGGACGTCATACTAAGTACTTTAAAAATCAGGGCATTTAAAGACAGTTTCCATAGTAATATTTGTTTAAGATAACCTTTATTACCACCACTTTAAAATATGTACTTCAATTTGGAAGGTCATCAATTATATTAGAATTGTAAAATATTCATCCATTTATGATTAAGTTGAATGTCATGGATGTTTTAATGAGGAAGAAATGATTCAGTTTTTAAAGGAAATAATTCATGAAAAATAAAATTGTGATAACAGTGTTTTGGTTAATGTCATTTCAAATGGGATTGTTAAGAACGGTAAGTTTATGTTTACTTTTCATAATTTAAAAAGAACTTTTATATTTTCTGATTTTGTTTTCATTTTGTAATTCTTGAATGATATTAAATACTCTATACAGTAAAACCTATCTTATATAAACACCACCTAGACTGGCCAATAGTGTTCAAATTGGCAGGTGTTCATATTTCAATTTAGGCATATTGAAAAAGGGGACCAAAAAGGATTCACATTGATAGATGTTCGGATAAGAGAGGTGTTCGGATTAGTCTATTTCTGCTGTATTCAGATATACTTTTGGTTGAATGTTACTGGTGTCACTGGCGTAGTGTAGGTATTTTGTGAGTGTATGCCACAAGTGAGCGAATGATATCCCCATATCGCATGCTTTGACATCCATGTCATCATTTCTTGGATTTCTTTACAATTTAAAGTGTTCACTGCCAATTCAGTTCTTTGCTTTTCAAATCTTGACCACCATTCTTTCTTATTGATTTTGACAGGAATAAGCTACAATCACACGTCTTTCAAGCTTTCAATAATATATGAGTCTAAATCAATGTTGTTTTGTCAACTTCTATAATCAATAAACATATTACAGTATGGTTAAGGCATACTATATATCTGTTGATAAAAGATATTAAAATCATAATTTATGTAATGATTTACCTGTCAACAGAGGAAAGGTTATGCAAGGTAAAAGACCCAAGCATTAAACTAATTTGCCCACAATCTGAAATGAAAATTCAAAGTGGATTTCACACAAGGATTAATGTACAATCAATTTATACCAGGAGGATTTTGAAAAAATACTAAGGTTAAGACTCACTGTTGTTAAGATGGTAGATGCGGTTGCCGAGGAGATCACTGAGACTCTAACATGCCTGATTTGTATGGAACTTTACGAGGATCCTAAGATATTAAAATGTGGTCACTCATACTGCAAGGTCTGCCTACAGAACCACGGATCCAAGAAGAAACAGTTGAAACACATATTAAGCTTGGACAGTGGTGCATGGGGTGTAGAAAGGACATTACACAAGAAATCTCTTGTGAGTACCAAGGCCTATTGCACTGTGGATTACACTGGTGAGGGCACCAATGCACATGTAGTTACAGCTGTAATTGAAGAGGAAGATGAACTTATGCTAATTGACCCAGATCTACAAGCAGCCTTTAAGATCAAATCTGGAAGTAACCTTGGCCTGAGGGATAAATGTAAAATGTCAGATTCAAAGATGAGTCTTAAAAGTAAGAGATCAGATTCGATATCAAGTATTGCTAGTAAACTTCTACGTGGACATGAACCTCAATCTCCAGGGACAGTAAGACGATTGGCTGAAGCAAGGGGTGCTTTTGTGATAACATGTCCGCTATGTTTGAAAACAACGATACTGGAGACCGGAAAGGTGGAGGAGCTGCCCACAAATTATGCTGGCAGCGTCACAATGATTTGGCGATTCACTCGCAAAGTACGAGCAAAGTTCTGTGCTCTCTTTTCAAAGAAATCAAAGAAGGAAGATAATGCGTACAATGAAATCTATGAAATTGGAACTCATGAAGCACCAGAGAAAGAAGCAAGTGGACCCGGATTGTTAATATGCTGTCTGTGTTTTTAGATCATGACAACTTGGCAACATTTATAACAATAACATTTTTCTATACTTTATATCAAGTAGTTAATTACGGGAACTAAAGGAATCAATTTTATTTATGTCTGTGTTTTAAGATCACCACAACTTGGCAACATTTAGAATAATGCATTTTTGTGAACTTTATAAACATTTAATCGCATATGCAATATAATGTGGTTTATTGTTTCAATTGCCTCAGGGAATTTTCCTGTTTACATAATTGGGGATTTTAGAAAATGATCATTTGGTTTTTGGTCACTTAAGTTTTCCAGAGAATGTGAGGATGCACTTAATTAAGCTAATTAGGATTTTATGTGATATTAATTAACTAGATTAGGTTTGAATTTAATATTATTATGGTGATATTTAATTAAGCTAATTAGGCTAATCTAGCTGATTAAACTAATTAAGTGTTTTACTTCTTAATACTCCCAGATGGCAAATTAATATTAACCAAGAAGATAAATATAACTTAAGCTATGTACAGCAAATTGTTTATATTCGTATATGATATCCACTCCAATAAAAGGTTACATTAACCGCGACTAGATTTGATATTTATTTCATGTGTGAACTCATTTTGAGTCAGTGTATAGTTGAGCCAATTATTTACATTGGAAGAGGAATTGGAAATCACACCTCCTGTTACAAACAATGGTGAATTTATTCATATTCTGTTAATAATAAGCATTTTCTGCAAAAATAGTAACAGCAATACCTGTGTACATTCAAAGGTCACCTCTCTAATCTGAATACTTCCGATTTTCGGAATGTTTTTTCTTTTTCATGTAATCTGTCATTGACTTCCAAATTCAAAAACAGAAATATGAATATTTGCCAATTTGCAATTTGCAGAATGGCTCAAATAAAGAGAATGTGGGAAATGTCTTTTTTATCTAGTGTTCAAGACTGTTTCCCAGCTTCATAAAAAGAACATTTTCACCATTTACTCAACTCGAAAATTCACTTTTGGTTTATCAGTTGAGCTGAAAGTTGTCTCGAACAATTTTCAATCCTCAGTCTAAATATGGCTTTTTTTAAGGCCGGTTCAATAGCCGACTTTGAATGGACCTGCATGCTTAGTTTGAAAATAGAATCATCAGAGAAGGTTTTAAACCATGAAATTGACTACCAGAAGCAATTGTTTTTGAACCCATTATCAGCTCTGAAGTTCAATGTACCTTAAATAAAGGATTGCTCACCTTTGATAGCGCTCTCATTCTTATAGAAAAACACACTAAAATATAAAGGAAGCTGTTTTAATGTATTCCCTGCTGAGTAAATTCTGAAGTATTTACCAAGGTCACTTTTTATCAGAGTCAGGCATTTGCAGTTATGTGGCCAAAATTGTAGCTTCATATTTTGATAAAGTCATGTCTATTTAAGCATTAAGGCAACCAACAGATTCAGGAAAACCAAAACCATCAATAATTGATATTTTATAGTTTCTATTTATCAATTTTCTGAGCCCCTGATAAGGGAATAATAAACTTGTTTTTTCATCAAATACTGAATTATTCATTTATTATTGTATAATGAATTATGTATTGAATGTTTCATAATGTTTAATGTTTCATACAGATATTTCTTCCGTATTTGTAAATAGATGTCACCTAATTTCTATTTTATTGTAATACTCTTTAACATTCTTCAGTAATATGCAGGGCCGTAGGGAGAGGGGGTTCGTAGGGCTCGTGCGAACCCCCCCCCCCAAATCTTGCCTAAAAAAATTCGAACCCACCCTTTCTGGCAATTATGCAAACCTCCAAACTTTGAGTAAACTTTTTGCAGTCTTTCAAAAATTTATCGTTTTTGATTACCCAAAGACAATTGAGTTATATGTCAAGATGGAAATATGTGAGATTTATAGCTTCATTTTGAGTAAAAAAGATTTTAAAAAAACAGAAGAACAAAAAACTTCTAATCAATAATGGGCGATAATAGGTATGCTCTTTGCACTTTAGGCCTGAAATACTGAAGTAATATCTTCAAAATGAATTCAAATGCACAAACAAAGCATACCTACCAAGTTGAAATTATCTGATTGATGTACATAACGTCAAAATGGTCTAATTTTTGATATAAATCTGCAGAGAATTTTGTTGTGACACTGGGCCGTGATGCACCAAAATTGTGAACGCTAGAAAATTCTTACTTACAACGTTCTTATTTTTTCATGCTGTAGTTAGATCAGAGAGCAAGTATAAAGATCACTCACACAGAGTTGTTTACTGATTTTTGGATCCTATTTATTTATGAATAAACTTTACGAGTGGTGTAATACATGGAGAATGACACTTAACACAACAAAAACAAAAATCGTCCATTTTAGATCGCAATCTCATGCCAGGAGTAATCATATATTCACATTTGGACCATCTAATCGTCTAGAATATGTTTCGGAATATCGTTATTTAGGACTTACATTAAATGAACATCTGGACATGCGACAAACTGTTAAAATACTTGCAAAATCGGCAAATCGTGCCTTAGGAATGTTAATTGCAAAAACAAATGTAAAGGGTGGACTACCTTATGCTGTATTCACGAAACTTTTTGACACCCTTGTTTCCCCTATTATGTTATATGGTGCCGGTATTTGGGGCACTCGACAATACTCTGAATTGAATGCAGTTCAAAACAAAGCGGCGCGATATTTTCTCGGTGTTGGACGTACAGCACCAAATGGATCAACCAAAGGAGATATCTGCTGGACATCAGTATTTACCAAACAGAGAGTCGAGGTGACTAGACTCTGGTGTCGATTAAAAAACATGGCTACATATAGGACACCGAATCATATATCTAAATGGTCTTGCCGATATCGTAAATCTTGGGAAAATCTCACGCTGAAAATGTTACAAGATTTGGACTTCCCTCAGCTCATCGACAATGAAACTATTTCTCGAGTTAAACTCCATCTCCACGAGGTCAAAGAAGCGTGCACACGGGCAGATCACGTCGAATGGCACAACAGTCTTTGGGACGATAGAAATAACCCAATTAATGGCAACAAATTACGAACATATAGACTGTTTAAAACACACTCTGTGGAACCCGCCCATTATACTTGCATTAACATGTCAAGGAGCGAACGCAAAGCAATTGCCCAACTTAGAGGCGGAACACTCCCATTGAAGGTTGAAACTGGACGTTATCACAATACCCCACTCCAGGATCGTCGATGTCACTGTGACAATCACACTGTTGAAGACGAGATACACTTTCTTCTACAGTGCAATTCTTATGATGAACTTAGAACTCCATTGTTTCTGAAATGCCTTGAGGAAATTCCAGATTTTCACACTTTTAATTATATTCAACAGTTTTGCTCTATTATGACTACACCAATGTTACAAAGGACATTGTCAAAGACACTGATTAATATGCTTTTAAAAAGGCGTTCTTTAATTTAATAATCAAAAACTTTTAACAAGTGATTATTATGATTTTAAGTCTCCCATAGGTCGACACCGGCCGGGCCGAAGATTTTAACTGATATTGCATTATTGTACTATTTTATATATGGCGTGAGACGTTAATAAATATCTATACATACATACATACATATAAAGCTCGTTGTACAAGCGATTTAAAATTGGGGGGAGGGGCAGGGGGTTCTATGTCTGCTAATTTCTGTGAATTTGTGGTATGTTGGGTCCAAATTTAAAAAAATCTGCCCGAATAAATGAACTTGGTCTTGGGATATTTTACCTATTTTTTGCTTTTGCAATTGTTTGAGATTTGGTAAACTTGAGAAAATTTGGTAAAATTTTAAATTTTAGCGAATGGGCAAAAATTATGAAAATTTGGCAACAATGTAACTTTGGCAAAATTTATCCATTATTGGCATTTAAGAAAAATTGGCAAAATTTAAGTAAAATTTTAGAAACTTGTCAAAAATTAATTAAATTAGACCAAAATTAAGAAAACTTTGCAAAATTTAAGCAAATTTGGCAAAATTGAGGTAAATTGGCAAACATACAGCAAATTTGGCAGAATTTCAGCAAATTTGGCAAAATTTAAGCAAATTTCATCAAATTTGGCAAAATTTAAGCAAATTTGGCAAGATTTAAGCAAATTTGGTAAAATTGAAGCAAATTTGGTAAAATTGAAACAAATTTGACAAAATTTAAGCAAATTTGGCAAAATTTAAGCAAATTTGGCAAAATTTAAGCAAATTTGGCAAAACTTAAGCAAATTTGGCAAAATTTAAGCACATTTGGCAAATTTGGCAGAAAATATTAGAACCCCCCCCTGACAAATCCTGGCTACGCCACTGATATGTATGTATTTTGTTGCATGTTCTAAAGCTGGAAATTGTGATGCGAGTCTTGTTACGGTCATTGAGTAAAGTAAGATATGAGCCTTTAAAAAGGCATGTGATTGGAGTGAAAGATAAGCCTTTAAAAGGCATTGGGTTTAGTTTGATATGAGGCTTTAAGAGTTCATAATTCTACATAATAACAAGAGTAATCATCAGTAATGAGAATTATATGTGCATTTAACAGTTTACTGGAGAGTTATATATAATAAAAAGCTATTTACTATTGCACATCAAATGTAATGCATTATATATAATTAATGTGTAATACAGTAGTGGATGAGCTCGGACCACTTTTTTACTCACACTATTGCATTTTAATAATTATGTTAATTATTTGTAGTTTATCATTTGCCATTGATTTTGAAAATAATAGGGTCTAGTTTTTCAGCCTCTTCGAATAATTGCCATTTATACCCTACTTTTATGAGGGGGTTATTCGATAAGCATCAATAATTTATGTTATATATCTCCAATCAAATTTATATTTCTAGGGAGTATGTATCTATATATAACAAGTTCCCATGACAAGTTTGATCATGCTTGGTCAAGTGGTTGCCATGGCAACACAACTTAAGTGCGAAAAATTGTAAATATTTTGAATAAATTCACCAGTTCTTTTAAAGGTAAACGACTGCTAATCTCTTTGGATTGCACCAATCAGCGTGAAGTTGACTTTAAAAACATATTTAAGGAGTTTTCAATGAAATAACATGATTAAAATGATTAATTGAATGATATATATGACTCTAGTCCATAACTCTATTTGGTCACTATCATTCACATTGCTCAAAAGTGGGCGTGGCACTTTTAAGTAACTATCTTGAGTAATTCATGTTATGTACCTCCAATCACATTCATACGTTCAGTGAGTATGTATGTATATAAAATTAGTTGATATAGCAAGTCTGATCATGTTTGGTTCAATGGTTGCCATGGAAACGTGCATGCAAACAATTGTAGCTATTTCAGATTAACAAGTAACTGCTAATCTCTTACCAATCAAAATAAAGTTTGAAACCATTTTTGGTCAATAAAACAACATGATTCAGATGATTAATTGGTAATTGGTTGCTATGGTAATACGAATGAATGGCACTGTTCTTTGTTGATATACTTGTTTGGCTTATGTGGAGATGGTAGATAGATATATACATAGTTCATTTAGATTAATTTCTGTATTGTCCACTGTTTTTCTTTAAAATACTATTTTAATTTCTACGACATATACATATTTACAACATCATATTATGTCCTTATTTAATTAGCTTAACTACAGGGTGTCCCAAAAGTATGCCCCTGCTATGCAGACATATACCAATGTTGTCCATAGTATGTGTCCTATATCAATTTAAAGCTCGTCCAAAGTTACATTGAT